AAACAAAGAGAAATCCGGCCATGACTCATATGCATCAAGACTGGGAGAGCCTTCGAAACTCTCTGTATAGTGAAACCTCGGCATATTGAATGCATCTACTGGTGGGTAGTGACATAACCAAAGTAACTATACAACTCGACATTTGGTAGGGATATCTTATATCATTCCACGACAAAACCGATTCTCATATGTCAAGGGTATATTTAAATAGAATGACATATCTGAAGGACGGTGGGGTAGCCTCGTGGTTAAAGCGTTCGCTCTCGTCACACCAAAGGCCCAGGTCTTTTTCCCTGCAGGGGTATAGTGAGTGAGTGAGTGAATATGGTTTTACGCTGCTTTTAGCAATATTCAAGCAATATCAAGGCGGGGGACAACAGAAATTGGCTTAACACATTGTACCCATGTCGGGAATCGAACCCGGGTCTTCGACGAGACGAGCGAACGCTTTAACCACTAGGCTACCCGACCGCCCCCAGGGGTATAGTGTCTGAAGACGTGATATTGCTGAAATATTGCTAAAATGGGCGTAAAACCATACTCACTCAAACATTATTATTCCTATCAAGGGCTGAGTACTATATATTAGGATTTAATAATAATATACACCTAAAATAACTAGTACCACCTCTACGTAGTTTTCCTTTATCCGGAACTTCCGTGTATAATTAGAAATGTCTTCATATATCCATCTTTCCAAGGCAAGAGAGTTAACTGACTATAAAAGTCCAGTTTGCACCCTTGCGGAACTAGAGCTAAGGCTCGTATTATTGAGTTAGATTTTGGCTGGACTAACGAGTATATGCATAGTCCAATCAAAGTCGCACAGTGAAATCGAAATCCGGTTCGTTAACTGTCATGCAGATTTCGGTCGATGGCAGGATTTGCAAAGCATGTGCAACGCCAACTCGGTGTCAACAGATATTTTCTAAATCATGGTGCTCACGTGATTTGATGCACTTCGCGATGTAAGATCCGTTTTATCACAATATAAATCTTGATTATCGATCAGATCGTCTTGACTGGGCGCCGCCATTTTGTTTGAAGCAAAATTCAAGTGATACGAGAGATGGAATCTGATTGGTCCATAAGAGAGGCTTAGAAGGGACATAACTGGTAAAAGCCACTGGTGGCGCTACGACCGAGCCCCAGGAATTACAGCCTAGTTCGGCAAGGGTGGAAACTGGACTTTTAAAGTCAGTTAACTCTCTTGCCTCGGGAAGATGCCATATATCATGGTGATCTCATTTCGATCAATGTCTAAAATACCACAAATATTTGATAAAACGATGGTACAGGATCTGGATCACTGTATGTTCTCCACAAAGTGACAAGAAAGGACCTGTGAAGATCCGGGTTAGAAAGGTCTTCAGCAACCCATGCTAGTCACGAGAGGCACTTTCCTTGTCGTAAGAGGCGACTAACGGGATCAGGCTTGCTGACGTGTTTAATACATGTTATCGTATCCCAATTGCGTAGATCGATGCTCATGATGTCAATCACTGGATTGCCTGGTCCAGACTCGATTAGTGATTTACATGATGAGCATCAAGTGAGCGAGCCTGGCCACCCGATCTAACAGCAAGCATGGGTTGATGAATACCAATTCTAAACCGGATCTTCACGGGTGACAACTCAATAATGCCAAGGAACAGTTACACAACATATTATTATATAATCTATTCGGGTTCCTGTATTTCAAAAGGAGCATGCTACAAAATGAACAACAGCGGAAGTATTTCGTCGAAGAAGTACAGAATACGGTTAAAGGAAATGGCTATTCTATATTTAAACCGTGTGATTGGCACACTATAGCCCTGCACCATGACCGTGGAATATATTGATTTTATGGAGAGAAAAATAAATCTAGAAATGCATGCAAAAGCAAGTCTAGCCAGCTCAAGCTAGCTCTATACTGAAATCAGCATAGGGATTTTTTTTAATTTTTAGAGTCAAGAAGGATATTGTGTAATATAAGATTTCAGAGACTAAATGTTAGTCTATGCACACTACTGTCTAACTGTTTCTGATATGGTCGAGATGAAATGGGTACTTAACAACTTTCAGCGAGTGAGTGAGTATGGTTTTACGCCGCTTTTAGCAATATTCTGGTAATATCACGACGTGAGAACCAGAAATGGGGTTCACACATTGCATCCATGTATATAGCTTATGACAACATACATAAATATACATTGATGCAATCATACAGATAATTCCCTTTTATTAATATACTGTCATACATAAACATCACCGAACACGATCATGGACATGTCAAGGGCGTGGTTACAACTACATTAAGAAGATATGGGGGTGAGTGAGTGAGTGAGTGAGTGAGTGAGTGAGTGAGTGAGTGAGTGAGTGAGTGAGTATAGTTCTCCTCTTTTAGTAATATTCATGCCGAATCACCTAGGGGCACACCTGATGTGTACCCATTTGAGGAACGAACCCGATCTTTGGCGTGACGAGCAAACACTTCAACCACAAGGCTACCCTACCACCCAAGGTCTTGGAGAAATCAAAAGCGACATAATGTATATACTAGGTTAATCTACGACGTGTTCTCTTGTCATCCCGTGCCCCAAAACCTGAGTACGAAGCCACTAGCCCCCAAACCAGAAGAAAAAACCGACACACTTCCACATCATGGCTGTGTGCGGCAGGGAAAGTCCTCAGTAATTGAATACTTAATTAATTAATCAGGAATAACATAAAACTAACGTCTTTGTAGAGTTTAACCAATATACGTCTTTGTTTTAACAAATACAGTTTTGATTGATAAAGGACCGCCTCCGTGGTCTAGTGGTAGAGCGTCCGCCAGGTGAGCGGAAGGTCCGGGGTTCGATCCCCGGCCGCGTCATACCAAAAGACGTTAAAAGATGGTACCTTTTGTTACCCTGTCTGGCGCTCGGCATTAAGGGGCTAAAACAAGGACTGGTCGGCTCGGAGTCAATATACTGTGTCTGAGTGGGGTATTCATGTTAAACTGCGGCATGGTATCTCAGTGAGCTAGCACTATAAATCGGCATCAGTCCGGACTAGTACAAGCAGCCACACAAACACACACACGTGCATGCAGTCGCTATATAAGTGCAATAATCTTGGACGCGACGTTAAACCCAATTTCACCTCACCTCACCTTGATTACATCCTACCAGCAGCACGACATTAAATATACAGCAATGGTCGCTCGATGTCAATACACAATAAATTGCAGTAGGTTATTGCATCAGTACGGTCGGCTTTGGTAGTGAAGACCCAGAGCTACTAGAAAACCTACCTTGTTATCCAGGCTACCCGGAGCTATAGGCAAGAGGAGTGCACCGCGCTACTGATTTGGGATGGTGCCACATGTGCGTGTTCACGTGCGCATTACACTTGGGAATCAATAACATTGACATGTGGTGCATTGATTATTCAGGGAGACAACTGTGTATGAACAGAAACGGTGTATGCCAAATTCAAACACAAGTCAGTGTATCTGATTGTGAAGAGCAGGTATTTTTTTCTCAAGGAATTTCTTCCATGATAGGAAAAAAGGTACTATTATGCATTATTGTTGAAAATCGTGCAGACATATTTATTTTCTTGAAGGAAGATTTACTGTCCTGCAGAAAGATTTACTATCATGCAGAGAGATTTCATGTACAATAATGCAGAAATATTTTCTATCAAGCGGCGCCATTTACTATCAACCAAAAATATTTACTATCATCCACTATGATTTTCTATCAAGAATAGATTAACTATCATGCAGTAAAATTTACTATCATGCGGAAAGATTTTCTATTAGGAAGAGAAATTACTGTCAAGTAGAGAGATTTACTATTTAGCAGAAAGATTCACTAGTATCCCGGGATATTTACTATCATGCATGAAGATGTATAGCAATGCATGACTATTTACTATTATGCAGATAAATTTACTAGCATGCAGAGAGATATACTATCATGCCGAGAGATTTACTATCACGCAGAGAGATGTGATCTTCTATCAAGTAGAGAGATTTGCTATCAAGCGTAGAGATTTACTATCAAGCAGAAAGGTTTTCTATCCAACAGAAAGGCGTATCATGCCGAGAGATTTACTATCAAGCAGAAAGGTTTTCTACCCAACAGAAAGACGTATCATGCCGAGAGATTTACTATCAAGCAGAAAGGTTTTCTATCCAACAGAAAGACGTATCATGCCGAGAGATTTACTATCACGCAGAAAGGTTTTCTATCCAACAGAAAGACGTATCAAGCGTAGAGATTTACTATCAAGCAGAAAGGTTTTCTACCCAACAGAAAGACGTATCATGCCGGGAGATTTACTATCAAGCAGAACGGTTTTCTACCCAACAGAAAGACGTATCATGCCGAGAGATTTACTATCAAGCAGAAAGGTTTTCTACCCAACAGAAAGACGTATCATGCCGGGAGAGTTACTATCACGCATGAAGATGTGTAACAATGCATGACTATTTACTATTATGCAGATAAATTTACAAGCATACAGAGAGATATACTATCAAGCAGAGAGATTTACCCATGATACAGAAAGATTTACTGTCATGCGAAAAGACTAAGCGTCATACAAAACGATTTACTATGCAGTAAAATTTGCTATCATGAAGGAGAATTATCTTATGCATGGTATTGGCAAACACTACTCTACATCGACGAGATGACTCCATTGCTTTTTCACGTTTGAATGATTGGTACAGTTGTTAAATTATCAATTTTGAAAAACATTTGTCAAAATTGTTTTCGTGTTTGTATATGTTTTTGATAAAGTAATTGATTGATGTTTTTAAAGAGAATTTTAAAATGTTTAAAATATTGTTCCATAAGAACTAAACCAAGAAATACATCAAGAAATGGAAAATCTCTTTCTAAATCGTCGTATTTATACAAGAAATTGACATGCAAAGTTTCCTATGACAAACATATCCCCACAACACATGTTTAACATATGAAGACATCACTGACTTGAGGTTGGAAGTTAATGTACTGTACCTGATGTGAAGATCGGAGGTTGCTGACGAACTGACGCGAGACGAACAAGGGCGGTCCCTTTTATCTTGTCATTTATATGACAGATGGCACAGCAAGCAGGTAACACCACGTGACTCCATGCATGTTTTTAATCGTTATTTGCAACCAGTTTCCGCCATCTCTCATGTACGAAATAACTGCGGGTTTTCCTTCTTGTGGTCGGTTGATACAACTCCTTCTAAAGATCAACGCGTGTTGGCTACTAATCCTTTAATGAACAGCTTTGGAAGTGGCTTTTAAAGCTAAAGGCTGACACGATTTAAGAGATATACATGCTCTGTTTTAATGTAGAGACACACATCCGTTGATTATAGTAACTGTAACTTTGCATTTTGTAACCTACAATTGCACGAATCATTATATAAAAATGCCTCCCGACTTAAAAAGAAGTACAATTCTAGAAATATTAGCTTCCGCGGTGATGCGGCGTCGTACCGGCTGTTTCACTCAGAGGTTTATCGTGATTGAATAACCTCTGATTGACCAATCAGCATCTGGTAGAATTCGTCGATAATATGCGACACAAAACTATACCAAAAGGCATACGTTCGCAGTATCGAAGCAGTTTTATATACAAATTGACTCATTTATATTGCACATAAAAAATCACAAACTAATAAGAACAGTTTAACTTTAGTACTTGAATGTGTGTTTTTTTAACCTTTTCATGAAGTCGTGTTGTCATATTAACACCTGATGTAAAAATTCATAATCTTTATTTCATAAAACTTTCTATATTTAACCATAAATAGTGCATCGTACATGAAACAGGCACTAGCGTGACCTCTGCATCTAATGACACCCTAAGAGAGATGTCGCTAAAAACACCTTTGTCCTATTAAACTTCCATGGAATACTCAAACTGGTAAACTATATAAATGAGAAATGTGAATTGGTGATTAATTATGTGGTTTTCTTTTTATCAAAATAAGTTGCGATGTGCCTTAAGGCAACATTCTTCATTTTGAGGGACCCGTGAGGATCCGGGTTAGAATAGGTCTTCGGCAACCCATGCTTGTCTCCTCCCGCGAAGATCCGGGTAGGAATAGGTCTTCAGCAAACCGTGCTTGCCGTAAAAAGGCGACTATGCTTCTCGTAAGAGGCGACCAGGTGAGGTGAAATTGAGTTTAACGTCGCGTCCAAGATTATTGCACTTATATAGCGACGTGCATGCACGTGTGTGTGTGTGTGTGTGTGTGTGTGTGTGTGTGCTTGTACGGACTGATAACGATTAATAGTGCTAGCTCACTGAGATACCATGCCGCAGTTTAACAAAAATACCCCACTCGGACACAGTATACTGACTCCGAGCCGACCAGTCCTTGTTTTAGCCCCTAAATGCCGAGTGCCAGACAGGGTAACAACAAGTACCATCTTTTAACGTCTTTTGGTATGACGCGGCCTGGGATCGAACCCTGGACATTCCGCTCTCCTGTCGGACGCTCTACCACTACACCACGGAGGCGGTCAAGAGGCTACTAAAGGGACCAGGTAGTCAGGCTTGTTCACCCGGTATCCCAATTGCGTGGATCGATGCTCATGATGCCAATCACTGAATTGTCTGGTCCAGACTCGATTGTTTACAGACCGCCGTCATATAGCCTGAATTTTGATGCAGGCGTTAAACAAGAATCAACATCAGCTTCTTTTTAAGGCCTGGTAGTCGTATAACGGATGCATCATAAAAATGTAACCAGTTCATTATTGTCTGCATCACGGCATTGAGAACATAACATGACTGGTTTGGGACAATTGTAAAATGTTCAGCAAAATATCAGCATGAACGAAAATTAACAGGTGGACACCCTGTAGCATTATAGACAGGCACATACGTCAACCAACAGGTTGTTTATGTACTCTCGTAAATTCACATTGAACAAATCTGTATATGTAGCGTGTGCCGATATATCAGTGAATATGCACATGTTGGCTGAATGTTTACACGAGATAAAGGTAAAGTGTCCGGGATAATTGCAACTGTTGCACGACCCGCCAGCTGCTGAGCCTGCGGATACGTGAAGCACATGATCTTGTCCAAGTGATGTTTTATCGTCTACACGTCTGAACAGTTAATATATCTTTTTCGATATTTGGATGTTTCGTCCAGCTATGACCTTCACGTGTGGGATTCTAAAAGTGGGAACAATGCAGCCATTTCACGCGTTCCTATGTCTTGATGTTGTTAGGAGAAACGTATTATCACAGTACGTGATCATGTTCATTGTAGCACATATATTGCAGTGGACCATAATTGTATATGGGCCGACGACGCACTTCATCTTTAACAAAAGATTGATTGATGTTTGCTTGAATAAAGAAGCGAAATTTCTCTCACTCTTACAAAATTCTACGAAATCGAGGACATATTGGCCGCGCCATTTATGTCCAGTGGACTTTATCCATTACGCAAGCCTATGTAGACAGCTTGACTTCCAGGAAGATTCAGTACCAACCCTATCATCCGTGAGCAATGGATTTCAACACCGATAACAAATGCATAGATTGCCCAGTGATAATCGATGTCAGCTGTGACACGACGTGTCCTTCCGTCTCCGTCGCGTGGTTCAACACGTCAATGTATATGTTTACCCCCAGGGCTAAGGTAGCTCACCTTACTTCATTGAATGTATTATTTAAATTTGTTACCATGAATACATTGGGTTCAGTTTGGCACAATTCCAGAGATCTCAAGTTGTAAAACTGACACACAATCTAGAGTTCTCTTATGTTTAAAGTTGGCAATCACTGAGAAATATCATGACTATTTATATTGACACAAATTTAATTAATGTTCGAACTGAAAACAAGAAAACAGTGTTATCATTATCCCTCGCCACGGGGCACATTAGAATTTTGTTTGTTCATATAATAGTGAATATACACTGAGAAAGGGAGGTAACTCCCGGACAAAACTTTAAGGCATCAGACTTGACAAGCACAGGAACTCGATGATAGCGTGTATAGCATAATATATTCGTACAGGAAAAAAAATCACACTCCTCTATGTACGAATATATTATGCTATACACGCTATCATCGAGTTCCTGTGTTGACAAGGTCGCTAGAACATTTTTTTGTAACAATTAAACCCAATACGAGTAACTAGCCACTTGTTTGTGATTGTTTTTCACTATTCACCATATATCTTGTGCAAGTTCCTTTGTCAAGTGACCGCCTCCGTGGTCTAGTGGTAGAGCGTCCGCCCGGAAAGCGGAAGGTCCGGGTTTCGATCCCCAGCCGCGTCATACCAAAAGACGTTAAAAGATGGTACTTGTTGAAACTGGTGCTGGCATAAATGGGCTAAAACAAGGACTGGTCGGCTCGGAGTCAGTATACTGTGTCTGAGTGGGCATGTTAAACTATGGCATGGTATCTCAGTGAGCTAGCACTATAAATCGGCATCAGTCAGGACTAGTACAAGCACACATCCACACATACGTCCATACACGTCGCTATATAACAGCAATAATCTTGGAAACCCCGTTTCACCTCACCTTCTTTGGTGAGTGTTATAATCATAATTAGGTAATTATGATAACGGTTCTCAGATAATCCTGGTAGAAAGTTTTGTAGACAATCAAAAATAGCATGGCAAGTTTCATTATAATATATTAAAAGTTTTCCGAGTTCTGCTCCCAAAACGAATGCTACGCTTCGAGTCCAAGTCCGGTTTGTTGCCAAGAAAAGACGAAACATTTTTTTTAAAAGAAATACCAAACATGAAAAGGCGCCAGTTCAGCACGTGTTTGATAAAAAGTTTTATAATAAAATATTAAACAGTTTTGAGTTCTGCTCAGGACGCATGGCACCCATTCTTATATCCCCCTCCCACTTTGTGGCAGGAATAACCCCTTCACATATGCTCTTACCAGCACAAAACTGGCTGCAACTAGTGTAGCTTATCCTTTCTCACAAGCAGTCTTCCATGTTTTAACTTAATCATGAAAATAACCCTTTCAATCGCTTCCTTATGCTTACAATGTTGATCATCGGCTTGTCTGATCCAGCCTCGATTATTTACAGGCCGCCATCAAATAGCTGGAATATTGCTGACTGTGCGGCATTAAACAACACATAAACAACAAACAAAAACTAGAGCCAGGGTCATCAGAATATATATTCCCCTGTCTGGTGCAATTCAATATCCCAATTCATTAAAAAGGAACCAGTTCACCATAAGACTGATCTGTATATCAAGTTTCATCAAGAAATATTCAACAGTTTTGGAGTTCTGCTCTGGAAACGAGCACTATCCTCATTTTCAGTATAAGTCCAAAACATGTCATGAAATTTAAAAAATGTAAAAATTCTAAATCATCAAAAGGCATATGTTCACCACTTGACTGATCTGTATAACAAGTTTCATCCAGAAATATTCAACGGTTTGGGAGTTCTGCTCTGGAAACAAACAACAACCCTCATTTTCAGTGTAACAAAAAAACAAAAATAATAATAAAATAAAACAAAACATAATTTTAAAATAACCCAAAATGATTAAAAGGAACCATTTCACCACTTGACTAATCTGAATAGCATGGTCAACAAGAAATATTCAAAGGTTTAGAAGTTCTGCTCCGGGAACGGAAAACAGACGGAGGATAGAGGGACATGCAGATTGTTTTTTCCCCCTAGTTTTTCAAACCGGGGGGATAACGAAGATACAAAGAACATAAATACCCACAAATAATCTTTATTTGTTTCAGCACCTGGTTTGCAGCATCTATGTGAGGGCCTGCCTCCAACATGGACATTTCTGGTGCTGACAAAATATCTGTCAATACATCTCTGAGTCGCATTAAATCAAACCTGGCGTGGGCGGTGCTACAGTACCGCCAGTGTGCTTCAGCCAGCCGCGACTTAGTACTATCAGTCTCATCAGAGATGGGAAATAGGTCCAGAGTGACATTGACATTGGTGTGCCCAGAGCTGGGCCTGTCCCTCAGCCCAGCAGCCGCCCTTGACTCAATGCCAGGAACGTCTGTAGTCACTGGACATAGTGTTGTGACCTCTACACTGGCAGGTGAACCATCATGTTGTCTTGTAGAGTATTCAGTGGGGTTAGAACTTTGTACATTATCTGGTTCAAGATTACCAGTACTTGTGTCACATGTTTTCTTGGAGTCAATGCTGTCATTGTGGACGTCACATAGTACCACAGAGTTAGATGCTAGATCAGCAGAATTTATCACAGAGTTACATGCTAGATCAGCAGAATTTATCACAATGTTAGATGCTAGATCAGCAGAATTTATCACAGTTGTGCTAATGTCTGTATCACAGTTTGACTTGTCCATACATAATAAATTGGTTCCACTGTCTGTTGTTGGAGCCTCTTGGAGCCTGGAGAGAGCGTGGAGCCGATGTTGGGCAATGGTGGTGAGGAAGGAGATGAACTCCAGATAGTCAATGCCGCTACTGGCCTTCAGGATCAACTGGAACACAACACAAACAGGCAATAGACATATAAGTTCAGGATAATTTGACATGACATAGTCACTCAGGCAATCAACTCACCTGACCCCTACAGCCAATCTCTGATCTACCCTCCAGACTCCTACAGGCAATTTCTGATCAAGTTTCCTGACTCCTACAGCCAATCTCTGATCAAGCCTCCAGACTCCTACAGCCAATCTCTGACCAACCCTCCTGACCACAACAGCCGGTCTATGATCAACCCTCCCGACCCCAACAGCTGGTCTATCATCAACCCTCCTGACCACAACAGCTGGTCTATGATCAACCCTCCTGACTCCAACAGCTGGTCTATGATCAACCCTCCTGGCTCCAACAGCTGGTCTATGATCAACCCTCCTGGCTCCAACAGCTGGTCTATGATCAACCCTCCTGACCCCAACAGCTGGTCTATGATCAACCCTCCTGACTCAAACAGCTGGTCTATGATCAACCCTCCTGGCTCCAACAGCTGGTCTATGATCAACCCTCCTGACCCCAAAAGCTGGTCTATGATCAACCCTCCTGACCCCAACAGCTGGTCTATGATCAACCCTCCTGACCCCAACAGCTGGTCTATGAGCCACCCAAACAACAGTATGAATTATTACAGATTGCCATCCTGACATATCTTCCATTACAAAAACTTCTTTTTCGTGCCTATAACCACTAAAGAGCTTGTATGTATGGGCCAATATGTTCATAAAAATACTTGACTACAGCCTCTCATGGCCTTACTGTGATCAGAATGAGTGTCAGGAAAGGGAGACAAATAGGGTTATCTCCCTCTGTACATAATTTGTCTACCTGACACTGTCCTGACCATCCCTCCATGTCGTGACAATCTTCAATCTCCCTCTGTACATAATTTGTCTACCTGACACTGTCCTTGCCATCCCTCCATGTCATGACAATCTTCAATCTCCCTCTGTACATAATTTGTCTACCTGACACTGTCCTTGCCACCCCTCCATGTCGTGACAATCTTCAATCTCACTCTGTACATAATTTGTCTACCTGACACTGTCCTTTCCATTCCTCCATGTCGCGACAATCTTCAATCTCCCTCTGTACATAATTTGTCTACCTGACACTGTCCTTGCCATCCCTCCATGTCATGACAATCTTCAATCTCCCTCTGTACATAATTTGTCTACCTGACACTGTCCTTGCCACCCCTCCATGTCGTGACAATCTTCAATCTCCCTCTGTACATAATTTGTCTACCTGACACTGTCCTTTCCATTCCTCCATGTCGCGACAATCTTCAATCTCCCTCTGTACATAATTTGTCTACCTGACACTGTCCTTGCCATCCCTCCATGTCGCGACAATCTTCAATCTCCCTCTGTACATAATTTGTCTACCTGACACTGTCCTTTCCATCCCTCCATGTCGTGACAATCTTCAATCTCCCTCTGTACATAATTTGTCTACCTGACACTGTCCTTGCCATCCCTCCATGTCGCGACAATCTTCAATCTCCCTCTGTACATAATTTGTCTACCTGACACTGTCCTTTCCATCCCTCCATGTCGTGACAATCTTCTATCTCCCTCTGTACATAATTTGTCTACCTGACACTGTCCTTTCCATCCCTCCATGTCGCGACAATCTTCAATCTCCCTCTGTACATAATTTGTCTAGCTGACACTGTCCTTGCCATCCCCCATGTCGTGACAATCTTCAATCTCCCTCTGTACATAATTTGTCTACCTGACACTGTCCTGACCATCCCTCCATGTCGTGACAATCTTCTATCTCCCTCTGAACATCCTGCAGACCCTGTCTGATGTGTTCCCAGCAGATATCTATATTGCATCCATTCAGCCAGTTGTGGTTGATCGAGATTGTGTCTTCCTGTAACAAATATTCTTCATTCCAGTTTAAGAAGAACTAAATTGTTCATTGATAAATATACAAAGAAAAAATATAGATGTCATTTATTATGCGACTATACCAAAAATATTATTTGCCTCTCTTAAAGGGGAAGTGTACACGCAAAAATTACTTTCTTTCTTTTTCTAAACAAAACGCAATTTTAGAATTAGTAAGTATCTGTGTTTGAAAATATACACTCATTTTTTTCACAGTGAAAGTAGGAAGCTCACAATAGTGTGAAAATGATATGCCGTTATGAGGCCTTCGTTTTTCGAGCTAAACAGGCCTGAGTTATCTCCCTTAGATTATGACGTAATTGGTGCCAATTCAACTGGGTCCCTGTCTATTCTGAACGCAAAAGATATCAAGTACAAGTTTTCGGTAAAACAACATGGCCTACGACACACTCCGGCGCAGTGGTGACTCAGCATAACACTATGCTGGCTGGCATCTGAGACGCTAGAATCACACACCTGTACCTACACCACGTGAAGCGGCTCTAACAAAGCATGATGACGTCATAATGTTTATCAATTGGCACCAATGACGTCATATTGCAAGGGGCATAAGCCATGGTGTTTTTGTTACAGAAATAGAACACTTGGTAAATGTGAAAAATATAAATCGTTTTAATGCAAAACATATGTTGATTAATTGTGATATTTTTATATTTTTGTCTATGACACTTCTAGGTTAACACTTTTATTGTGGAAAAAGTACAAGAAAATTAGGTTCATTTCCGTGTGAACTTGCCCTTTAAACAGGTTATAGCGAAAACGTCACCTCAGCAAAACGGCACCGGGCGAAAACGGCACCTATTGGCGAAAACGGCACCTCGACACAAGCGAAAACGGCTACTATTGCCTGGCGAAAAAACGGCACCTTATTTTTTTACACCTTGGTCAAATAAATGAAAATAAACTTACATAAAACAAGTAAGAAATTAGACCCCTTCTCCAATTTACTCGCCGATTGGTAGGCGCAGTTAACTTATTGTGAAAACACTATACGCTTTGAAGTTTTAAGTACTTTTACTCAATTTAAGCTGAAACTGTATTTAAGAGGTCAAACATGGTGCTGACCTTTCAATGTGTTGCATGCGAGAAGAATGTAAGAAAAAATCAACATGCTGTATCATGTGATAACTGTGGCCCGTGAAAAAAGAAATTTGCCGGACAGAAGAAGACTTCCCTTTCTGCTGTTTGAGATTTGTAGATCCCATCATTGAAGAGGTGATCGGTAATTTTGATGTCAGTTTCCAATCAGAAGATGCAGAAGAAATGAGAGTACCAAACCAGGTACCAGGACAGTGTTGACAGCAATTCAAGTCCGAGTTGAGGTATTAATATTGTTGTTATAACTGATTTGTGTAATTGTTCTCGGTAATTTACAATAAGCTCTCAATTACATGTTGAATAGTTTATAGTTACAGTAGAGTAATTGAACGTATTATGTGAACTGAACCCGGGAACTGTTGTGCCCCAAAGAGCCGAGGACTTTGGACTTCGAGGTACTACTAATAATAAAATAAACTACATAATGCTATCGTATAAATTAACCATATATATTACTACAAAAATCGTTCTTATCGTTATTAAAAATAGAGGTGCCGTTTTCGCCCGACACATAGTAGCCGTTTTCACCAAAGAAATCGGTGACGTTTTGCTGAGGTTCCGTTTTAGCCTGCACCCCTCTTAAACGATAAAGATGTAAGTTATTATGAAAAGAAGACAATTTTTTAAAATACCTCTGTATATTAGTACAGGCTGGTGTCACTGATTATGAATTCAGAGCCACACCAATCTTGAATACAATTTCCATATCATCTTATAATTATAGCAAATCAAAATATTAATGAAATCTATTTCCAGAAAGATTAAACACATTTAGATATATTTCCCGATCGTTTTCATAGTCAAACACATCAAACGCGAATCAATGCACTTTTTATTAAACATCTCTATCAGATAGGGTCTTCCATATTTAATATACCTTTGATCAATTCGTTGCTTAAAATACACTGACACAGAGCTGTTCCTCTGTGGGCGAGCTCCGACGACAAAGGGAAGTTACTCTTTTTGCAAATGTGGTAAAACGATTGCCACGTTTGACAGATGTATGGGATCCTTGTTCTTAAAAGAAAAATAATTTTTCTCTACTTCAACGGACATAGTTTTTAATCTTGTACATGCTTATGGTTACCTATTTTAGCCTTGTGGGCGTATTAAAAACACCTATCAATTTTGATGATGAGCGTATTATGTCTCAGCCTCGGCCTTCATATGACGATCATGATGACAGTATTAATGTATAATATATTTATGGATTATTCATTATGTTTTAATTACAAGGTCATTGTAAACTTTTATGAAAAAACAACTGACATTTGAAATAAATCTTGAACAATTTACCATATATATACTACCCAGAAACCTAATATCAGCACAAACTCCATTTCAGTTCACCTCAGAAATGTTTTAGACCCATGCAGATCCGGGGTAGAATAGGTCTTCAGCAACCCATGCTTGCCATAAAAGACGAAAGGTGCTTGTCGTAAGAGGCGACTAATGTGATCGGGTGGTCAGGCTTGCTGACTTGGTTGAAGCATGTCATCGTATCCCTATTGCGTGGATCGATGTTCATGATGTCAATAACTGGATTGTCTGGTCCAGACTCGATTATTTACAGACCACTGTCATATAGCTGGAATATTGATGAGTGCGGCGTGAAACAACAACCAAACCAAACCAAAATCAGAAATTTTTAAAAACTGTTCAATTCACCTCATATTGATTTGAACACTTTTTAAAATGTCTTTATTAAATCAGCTGACAGTTACGAAATTAACTTCTGCATTAATCAATCGTTGCCTTCAGAATCACATGGAAGACTGTGCACCTTTCCACGCTGCAGCTTACCACATTGTACACCTGGTGATGCCAGCCACTCGGGACAAAGATTATCTCCCCTTCTTCCTGATAGACCTCCAGCCTGTGCTGCAGGTGCTTGTAGTGGGGGTATCTGGACTGGTCAGCCAGCTCGCTAGACGTGACATCATACACCAGCTGTCCAAACACATCCGTCAGGCACTTCTCTTCTCCTGACACAAACAAGGCGCATCATGAATGAGTGAGTAAGTGGTGTAGGATGCTGATTCAAACATTATTTCTGTTTTTTCAAAGTATGTTAGTTTCAGGTGTGGGGAAGTCCACTGACAGGTAGGTCACAGGGTAAAGATAAGGTGAAGACAGATCAAGGTTAATCAGGGCAAGTTGTAACATTGTATAACCCACAATCTTGGCACAACTAAACTTTCTCTGACAAATGTTGGAGCCATATACAACAAGAGCACTTATGAACCCTGCTTTTCATGACACATTCAGCATTCTATAAAAGTGCGTCAGTGAGTTTAACACCGCTTTCAACAGTTTTCCAGTTATATCACGGCATGTCAGTTATATGTGGGAGGAAAGCCTGAAGCGATTAACGTCTTAGAAGTTTACCACTTTGGTGAAACCTATAAATAGTTTACAAATGCTAAACTGTCCAAAGGTACAGTTCACCACCACACCTATCAATGTGCCAAGTTTGGTTCAGATATCTTGCATGGTTTTAGAGTTCTGCTCCGGAAACTAAACATGACGGACGGAAAGTTGGAAGGATGGACGGACAGCATCCATTCCGATATCCCCCTTCCACCTCGTGGCGGGGGATAATAACTGGGGCAAACCGGGATTCGAACCCAGAATAATAAGTTTCAAGCATGCCCAAGTGATGCAAACCTGCACAGTGAATAGCGATGCCATAGACGACTGGGCCACCCATACCCCAACATTCTGTATGAGTGACTGAGTGAGTTGGGTTTAACGCCGCTTTTAACAGTATTCCAGTTATATCACAGCGTGTCAGCTTAATGTGGGAGGAAAGCCCGAAGTGATGCAGGTCTCGGACGTTTACCACTTTGGAGAAACCCACGAGCACGGGTACGGTGCTGACAAACCTAGAAACATAATCGGGGCGAACCGGGATTCGAACCCACAATCATAGGTTTCTGGCGTGCCAAAGGGACGCAACTCTGCACAGGGAATCGCGGCGCCTTAGACGACTGGGCCACCCGTCCCCCCATTCTGTATGAAGTAAGTGAGTGAGCAAGTTGGGTTTAATGCAAGCTTCCACTGCATGTCAGTTTAATGTGGCAGGTAAGCCCAAAGTGACACAGTAAATGTGAGAATCGTACCTACAGCTGTCAGACCCTGCCATGGCTAGTGGACACAACTACGCAAATTCTGAAATACAGCACCTTTAGACCATAGAGCCGGGTCAGAATCTTCAGCTACCAATGCTTGTCATAAGAGGCATCTAACGGGATCTCGCTAACATGGTTGATGCATGACATTGTATCTCAATTGCTTGGATCTATGCTCATGATGTCAATCAGTGGATTGTCTGGTCCAGACTTGATTATTTACAGACAGCCGTCATACAGTTGGAATATTGCTGAGTGCGGCGTTAAACAAGAAACAAACAAACATACCCCCAGTACACTAGTATTTATACAAGGCTGACCTGGGGGAAAGAAGATCCACTTCTTCCGGCCACAGATGTTAGCTGACCAACTGTATGACCGGAACACGTCGGCATGGAGCGGCGTCCTGGCAACAGATATCTATTGTAGGACTTCAGCATGTTCACTGGGTCTCTAGTTTGTATTTATTACATGGGGAAAATATGGAAACCTTAGGGTGGTCAAACTAAAACACAATTAGTAAGATGTATTGGTTAATTGTGATAACTCAAGAATATGTGAGAAAGGGTGAAACCAGAGGTTTGTTTGTTTGTTGTTTAACGCGCTAAGCAATATTCCAGCTATATGACAGCGGTCTGTAAATAATCGAGTTTGGACCAGACATGCCAGTGATTGACATTATGAACATCGATCCATGCAATAGGGATCGATGACATGCATCAACCATGTCAGCAAGCCTGACCACCCGATCCTGTTAGTCACCTCTTATGACAAGCATGGTTGTCTTTTACGGCAAGCATGGGTAGACTGATTCTACCCCGGATCTTCAAAGGTCCAGGAGACGATGACATCTTTGAAGCTACATAATGCATGTAATGACTAATAATGAAATGAGTTATAGCCCTTCTTCAACCATCCTTCTGAAAAATACAGCAAAGTTGTTGTTTTCAGTCGAGAAGGAAATTTGGTAATATTTTTCCAGAGATGACTGATGCTGTATACTACTCAAAAGAAGTTAAGTTATCCTGTCATGCTATCACTTCGGTCAAACGGCTATTCATCTTTAATGCTCATCAATTATTTGGACCCCAAAGGTAACGAGGGATCACTGTATACTAATATGAAACAGTTGGGTGGTCCTTAACTTCCTTTGAGTAGTATATATTCTGGCAGCTGTTGGGTGGTAAAAAGATCTGTTTTTTAGTAGCACTGGCAAGAGATGAAAACACACCCAACAACACAAATATGCATGAAATAATTAAACATAAGATGCAATAATTATGATCATAAACCAATCATAAAATTTTCTGTGCCACTCTCTTGGGTCATGTCATATTAATCCCTCAGTTTCCTGAGGCAGTAACGATTGCAGCCGGACCTGAAGTTTGCTGCTCCAAGCTGTCTGACTAATGCCTCTGAGTAATGGGTCCTACCTCACGGCTATGTCTGCATGTTAACATGCTTATGTATAATGTGATTTATTCAGTACAGTGAAGACATGAAGGGAAAAGAGAGGTAATAAGCTGCAAAATACACAAGTTCTTCTGACATCATGAACTGATGCTAGGTTAGTATTTAGAACACAGCCCCAGGCTGAGGGATTGGACAACAACCTATCACATTTAATGCAATGTTCAGGAGCATTTTTTCACTTATTTTTACTTTCACGGTTACAATCTATTTTCCTTTGCTTCAATAATTACTGATAATATAGATAATTAAGGAAGTCTGAACAGACCAAAAGAAAAAAATTATTGCACTTTAGAAATTACATACTCATACAATTCAAAATGGTTTCATCACTTTTATGGAATAAATATATCAAAAGCGGAAATGTTCTGATAATTGCAGCCATCAATCACTCAAAGTAATTACAATTAGAGTGACAGTAAAGAAGGGCTGCTATGAGTTTTCAAGGATTCAAGTAATTTCTGACAAGGTCTGTTGTTTGGCAACAACTTGTAAGGGGAGATTACTCTGTTTCTCTACTATATAAACCTCCGAGGGCATCATCCCATTGATCCATACGGGGTTCTCTCCTTTGAGCAAGTACTCAATCAACTTGAAAGCCAGGAGCGTTTTCAATATACACAGGGAGGTCTTACTTTCCCAGTAAGACCTGCTTTGAGGTTTCAGTTTTTCCCAGTAAGACCTGCTTTGAGGTTTTTAGTTTTCCCCAGTAAGACCTGCTTTGAGGTTTTAGTTTTTCCCAGTAAGACCTGCTTTGAGGTTTTTAATTTTCCCAGTAAGACCTGCTTTGAGGTTTTAGTTTTTCCAAGTAAGACCTGCTTTGAGGTTTTAGTTTTTCCATGTAAGACCTGCTTTGAGGTTTTAGTTTTTCCATGTAAGACCTGCTTTGAGGTTTTAGTTTTTCCATGAAAGACCTGCTCTGAGGTTTTAGTTTTTCCAAGTAAGACCTGCTTTGAGGTTTTAATTTTCCATGTAAGACCTGCTTTGAGGTTTTAGTTTTTCAATGTAAGACCTGCTCTGAGGTTTTAGTTTTTCCATGTAAGACCTGCTTTGAGGTTTTAGTTTTTCCAAGTAAGACCTGCTTTGAGGTTTTAGCTTTTACCAGTAAGACCTGCTTTGAGGTTTTAGTTTTTCCAAGTAAGACCTGATTTGAGGTTTTAATTTTCCCAGTAAGACCTGATTTAAGGTTTTAGTAAACGGCAACCACAGATATCCTGGTTAATTTAATACAGTACCCAGTGTTTTTTCCACTGAGCCAGGTGGGGCAGGTGATGAAGTAAGGATCACTGAGCACATGATTTGTGACAATGTGCATAAATGTTTACTGAAATCACTTCAGGTACTGCGTGTTTTACACTGGAGGCTACAGTACACCAGTTGCCAACACAATACAACATGTTATGATTACATAAATGTACAGTGTCTATTGTACGTTTTGTTGAGTCTGCTAACCAATCAAATAATGGCTTGGTTCCACAGAACCATGCCTGCTACATGTCATTCCAATCTGTCCAAATACACGCTGACTTTACATTTCAGTTTTAAATAAATAATTATATCAATCACAGTTCAAATAAAGTGGGGGGCACGGGTGGCCCAGTCGTCTAAGGCGCCGCAATTCGCTTTGCAGAGTTGCGTCCCTTGGGCACGCCAGAAACCTATGATTGTGGGTTCGAATCCCGGTTCGCCCCGATTATGTTTCTAGGTTTGTCAGCACCATACCCGTGCTCGTGGGTTTCACCAAAGTGGTAAACGTCCGAGACCTGCATCCTTTCGGGCTTTCCTCACACATTAAGCTGACACGCCATGTTGTAACTGGAATACTGTTAAAAGCGGCATTAACACAACTCACTCACTCACTCAAATTAAGTGATGAAGGCGTATGTTAACATGCAGTTAACATTAACTCAGCAGTTAACATTAACTCAGCAATATTTGTTTGTTTGTTGGGGGTCTGTAAATAATTGAGACTTGACAATACAAATCCAGGGATTGACACCATGAGCATCGATCAAAGATACAGTCAAGTCTCGTTAATCCGACATCGTTGGTTGCACATGATTGTGTTGGATTAACGAGTATGTCGGATTAACGAAATTAAGTGATTTGTGATCGAAAATCGGACGCCTTCACGATAGATAATAACCTTGTGTACCTTGTAATAAAATCATTAAAAACGAAATATTAATATTGTTATGTTGTTTATTCATTCATTCCTTAATTTATAATTAATGAATGTGCAAAAATAATAATAATTTTCCCATTTATACATAACAATAGAGACATTACTCACAGAATTAATCACATCAACGACACACGTTTCCTCGTGTTGACAACTTGCTTCATCTACTTAAAATAGTCTTTCAGTGTTGAATGTGCGCTGTTGTATTTGGTGGCAAAAAGTGACATTTCACATTAGTCTACAGGTTTTAATAGCTTTTCCTGTTAATTGTTAAGTTAATCTCTGCAGCCAGTGCGTGTCAAAACACAGGGTTGTGTACTCGCGGTCAGATGACCACGGAGTACGCTGATCACTGTGTCGGATTAACGAGACTGATTAATGAGTGATTTCGGCAATTCGTTGCAAATTAGGTGTGTCGGAGTCGGAGTGCGAGAATGTCGGATTAACGGGACTAAATAGCACTGATTCAATCGGTTCCCATCATTTGTGTCGGATAAAGCCGAGTGTCGGATTAACGAGTGTCGTATTAACGAGACTTGACTGTACTTGGATTTGATGACATGTATCAACCAAGTAGACAAGCCTGACCACCAGATCCTGTTAGTTGCCTCTTATGACAAGCATGGGTTGCTTAAGGCCAATTCTAACCCGGATCTTCACAGGTCCACTGTTGTGTTATTTTGATATTCGTGTTCATGTCACATAGACTTTTCTGACAAAACTGAAATAATATCCTCAGAGTGTTTTTCATAACAAGATGAACAGCAAAATGGTCAAAAGCTCCCATCACCATGAAAATAAGGTCAAGGTCACCAGAGGTCCCCAAACACCCTATTTTAAACCACATTTGCACAAAGTGTGAACGAAATCCATGCACAGTTTCTGGAAATACCTTGCCAAAAAGTAGCAAATTGGTCAAAAACTTCCCAAGACCTTCATCTTCCTGAGGCAAGGACGTTAACTGACTGAAAGTTTCCACCCTTGCCGAACTTGGTACATTGGGGTATACATGTTAAACTTTAGCACAGTATTTCAGTGGTCCAGCAGTAAAAAAATGGAATAATTCCAGACAAGTACATGTCGCAACACACATGCATGCATGTCATGAAATAGGTAAAGAATCTTAAAAGCAACTTGAGTCACATTTGACCTCACTACTCATGATTACAGAGATATTAACTGTGATAACCACAGTAAAATCATGAGAATCATCGAAGCTAATAATTCTGCAGGTGTGAGCTGTTGCGGGCTTACCAGGATCCCTTCGGGCCAATGTAGACAAACTGATAGTCATCTCCCTCGTCTGTACGAGTGTCCCAGAATTCATTGAGCCAGTCTGACCGAAAATAGACAGGAGTTGTATAGGCTTTGTATTCAGGAAATTCCCTGAAACAGAAACCACATGTATGCAGCAGACTCCCCGCATACCTTTTGCAGACTTCCTGCAGACTCTCTGCAGACAAGGAGGTAATCAGTCAGGGTATGAAACTCCCAAAAATTTCAGCCAGACCACAGGACTGGCTAGCTGAAATACTTGCCAGCCCTGACCAAAACCTGCCTGCCCACTATAATCATATGTTTCTCAGGATAAGCTAACGGGGTTTCTTTTTGGTTACATTTTATCATTCATAGTTACATGTGAATTAATGCTTATCATCGGGAAATATTTAGAATATTTTCACATATGAAATATAACCTGACCGTCGGGCAGGGGGATTTAAAAATCTGGCAGCCCGAGTTGAAATCAACCCGTCTCGGACGGTCGGGCAGGCAGGTATTTCGAACACTGAATCAGTATAAAGGCCTATAATACAATCAATTTCTGACATTGCATGCATTATATTATTTTTTTAAAGTAATAAATACTTATATTTTGAGCTTTGTAAAGATGCAGAAAGATGCTAATCAAACATTTGATTTTTTGCCTAAATTCATAGCATCATATTACATGCATCTATAGATTCCATATGGTATATTCAGTATAAAGGCTAAGAACCTATAATCCATTTTATCTAATTTCGGACATTGCATGCATTACAGTATTCTTATAATCATGATAATAGTAACATACAGACTTATATAATTTATAAGTTTTCTGAACTCTTGAGCTCTATAAAGACATCTACACATGCCTTCAAAACAAATTGGTTAATGTGGTTACCGTAATCGACGTAATAAGCACCCCGCTCTAAAAAGCGCCCACAGCGATATTTGCTAATATATTGGCTAGTGAACAATCCCAATCAGCACCCCTTCCGATTGATCCATGTACACAAGACTTATTTATTCGTGAATAATACACACTCGTGTGTTATATCACCCTTAATTATGAGCAATTAAATTCTTGAAAAATATATCTGTCGTATGTAAACATTTCAGGCTGTTAGCATAAACCACGAAATTTACGATCTTTCAACTCAAAATAATATTCTAATAAGCGCCCCCTATTTCTAATTTTGAGAGCGCCCTGGGCGCTTATTACGTTGAATACGGTAATACATCATGATAACACATCAGCAAGAATTTGTACTGTTGTTTCAGTATCATGTTTACATGCATCTGTAGATCCGACTTACAATACCTCTTGAAGTGCCACACTAGCATCAAAATATAATAACTTCCTCACCACTGCTTACATTTAATAGTACTACATTCCTGACAACTATTCACTGTCAAAATACAACGAGCTTCTACCGAATCTCAACAGAAAGAAAGTAATACAGTTATAATCATGATAATAGTTGCCCAACAAGAAAATACATGACCATCTGTAGATCCAATTTACAATACCTGTTGAAATGCCAGTCTTTCAGGTAAAAGCACTTTTCTTCTGGTGTCACTGTTCGTTCCTTCCAGTATATGAAGTAATCCTTCAATGACATTTCCTCCTTTGGGTGTGAGGAGAACTTCTCCTGACTGCAGTCAGCTACAGGAACTGTCACAGAGCCTACAAGACATGGTAAACATGGTAACACCACATGACATGACTGGAGTCATTTCCTTAAATCAGAGGTGTTTTAAATTTGCAATCTTTGTAATAATGTAAAACTAAGGATCAAAGACTCCGCCTCCACAATGTTCTTATTTGGTATCATATCAATGAGATGGAAGTCAACTCTAGATCTCATAGCCAAACACTATAAAATATATCACAACAGCGAGTGAGTGAGTTGGGTGTATGCTCCTTTGAACAGTATTCCAAATTCCACTTATATGACAGCCTGTCAGCTTAAAGTGGGAGGAAAGCCTGTTGTGATGCAGGTCTCCAACGTTTACTACTTTGGTGAAACCAGCAAGCATGGGTATGCTGCTGTATGGTGTTGACAAACCTAGAAACATAATCAGGGCAAACCAGGATTCGAACCCACAATCATAGGTATCTGGCTTTACCAAGGAACACAACTCTGCACAGTGATTTAGAGCATGTTAGAGGACTGTGCCACTCGTGCCCATATCATAACATGAAATGGGAAATCAAATTGAAAATTGAAAATGACATTAGTCGCAGGAAAAAGTGCATTCGGTGCCTTTGAGGTCTTACTGAAGTACCTCAATTAGAATATTCAGCACAACCTTGGAGCAAGGCTACTTATAGCCCTTATGGCAAGTGTCATCATTCTGATACAAGCTTACCAAAATGGCTGATGAGGAAGTCCAGGTGAGGCGCCCCCTGCAGGACCCACTCTCTTCGGCTCCGCCATCCCTCGGTGCTCCTGGCTGACAACACACATGGACGGTTCGGCAGGAGGTACTTCAGGAAGAACTCCTCATAGCTTGGCATTTCATCCAGGTGATCTATTGCGATGCCAGCCTCTTGCCTCCTCTCGGACAAGTTGGCGATGTCACTGGGGAGTTCTCCTTGTATCATGGGACAAGGGGATGCCATGATTTTGATTATCTGGAATCAGTAATATCAGCAAGGTGATTGTGAGTAAGATTGGGTTTAATGCGTCTTTGAAAAGTTTTCCGGTGATATCATGGTGTGTCATAGTCGAGTCAATCTATGATAAAATAGTACCTAACCTTTAATCTGCACAGAATTTATTTTCTGGTATTTTTTTTTTAAAAATGTAAAAATCCATACATATTGTACATTTGCTGACAATGCTGTCAATGCTGCATGATAATCTCAATACCTAAAATATATCGTATGCTCACCAGCCTTTTCCATGAGGTCATATTAAAAGGAACATTATCAAAATATTAATTCACGTTTTAATAGATCTAGATAAAGAATATAAAGTAGAAAGTGTTCTTTTGAAATATACCTGGTGGTTTTGCGACGCTGAGCCAGTGCAACAGCCAAAATCGACAAAACACGATAAAACATGTGCTATTCAATGGTGTAAAAATATCGCTAATTGTCAGGCGAAAACAGCAATCTAGATTTTATTACAGCGAGAACGATTTATGTAGTAGTATATATGCTTTATTCTTTATTTATCATCATGATCATTGTCTTGTATCTTTCCACAAATAGCATTGTTCCTTTACTCAGAACATTAAACGTTCAATTACTCTACTGGAACAATCAACTAGGCTACTCTACGTGAAATTAAGTACACCAATCAGTTGTAACAACAATATTAATTAATAGCACAGCACCTCAACTCGGAATCTATGTGCCGTTGATATCTGACAGCACCCTGTTATGCATCTTGAATACAGTTTCGGCTTGACATTGAGTTAATTTCAGTATAGGCAGGGTTAGAAACTAACAGTTTTTGTCCACTAGTCCTTATATGATAACATATAGCAAAACCCTTAAAATGGGCCAATTTCTACTAGTCCTTAGGATACCTTTACTATTGGGCAGTTTGGTAAGGACTTACAGGACTAGTGCCAATTTCTAACGCTGGTATAGATCCTTAAACTTCAAAGCATGTGATGTTTTCACAATAAGGTAAACAAGCGCTACATCTCAGTGATATGCTAACTCTAATTAGTCTAGCCAAGCTTCAAGCTCACACCGCCAGTTCGATCTCCTAATTACTCAGTGCTAATTGGAATCAGAAAAGGTGTACCTGGGAAGTTTTAGTCAGTTAGTGGCGTTCAGAGGTTTACAATTACAGTTTTCGCCGGATTGGGATCGATATTACTGTTAAAAATACTTTTCATACATACTGTATGTTTGGAGCCTTATTGCATAAGATATATAAGCTTTTATATCTTACTCTATTCACATGTCACACAACAGATCGCGTCCCTTCAAGACACTGTGTTTTTTAGTCACGGTAAACAGTTTCTAATCTAAACCAGGGCGCAGCCATTTGTAAGGCTCGCACTTCCTGTTCTAACAGTGAAAGAAAATTTAATTCTAAATGCACAAAATCACTGAATCACTGTTTTGCGAATCTGTTATTATTTGAAAAAGATGCGAACATTTATTATATTAACTATTTATATTCATTTGCTGCGTAGCTGTAAACAGGAAACGAAGCATCGCTTTCACAACATTGCCCCATTCGAAGCGAATGATCACATTTCGCCCATAAATATAACGTGTGATTTGTTGACAATAAAGTCTAAGTAACCGATGACGTTACTGAATCTGTACATAACAACTGCTCCTACCAGTGTAATGGTGGGACAGACGAGAAAAAAGGGACACGGTTTGTCGGTGGGTTTGTTTTCAAGTTAATATTCAATCATGGCTAAATATGGTTTAACAGATTGCTTTAAAATATGACTTTGACAACATGTTCTTTTTCAATATCTTAAGTTGTTGCCGTCACTAAATGTATGAATCAATGCTGATGCGTCGTGGAACTCTACTCACTTCAATCATGATCTGTGTGACTGTCACTGTCATTATTACACGGACATAAATCTACGTATGCGTGTTTATAAAAAAAAAACGTGTTGATATATGATCCACAATGCACTTGCTGGAGCGTTTATTCCGGTAGTAATACCCTGAGGTCACCGCTGTCTCATAGATCTAGCAAGACAATCACGCAATCGATCGATCAGTGCAGGTTTGCTATACAGATACATTGAAGTTTTTGATGTCATACATCTGTCATATGAAACTTAAGCTGATGCATAATTTCGACTTGTCAATTTAGAAACATATGTTGCTTATTCTCTATTCAATTAAATTCAAGGCCAGTGCTGTAACATTATCTGTTTGGCAAGATGTCAACAAATGCTCACCATTCATGCTTTGTCATTTATTTATGAGGGTGTAGACCAAGACCTGAACTTTCTTAACCTTTTTTAAATTGGAAGTTCTGCAAAATTAATTCTGAAACATTACCAAGTTAGTCTGTGCATGGACACAGATGAACAATGGCTGTGTATATGAAATTCTAAGTGGATCCTGTATTTGTCTGCTTGGTGTCATGTGCTCCTTTGACACTGATTAGTATGTATTTGGAGATTTAAATTGCCTCTTTGTAGATCATGTTCATCTATCTAAATGATGCCATTACTTTCCTTAAAATACCATGGTGCAGAGTTTATTACAAGATTATATGAACTTTGTTTTGACAGATTTGCTTGTGCACTTTTCACAAATATGATTGTGTGAATCAGAATTTAGAAGGAACTATTCCAGTATCAACCAGATGTATGAGGGGAGGATGGTTTAACAATAATTCATTTGCAAACTTAACTAATTTTCTCATTTGTATCATGATTATTTTCAGATGGCTACAGTAAAGGAAGATGAGCAGCTGTTGAGTGACTTTGACAAACTACGCTTAGAGAAGGAGGAACACATTGTCTTGAAGAATGTGGACCAAACGTTTGACTTCCCGTATTTGACTGACTTAAGAACAGTAAAGCATGTCAAGGAGAGCAAGGTGATGTTCTTGTTGCGTGGTTTACCTGGATCAGGCAAGACTACAATTGTTTCCAAACTCCAGTATGTTTATCCAAGTTCAGTGAAGTGTTCTGCAGATGACTTTTTCTTTGTCAAAGGTGGATACAGATTTGATGCTGCACGTTTAAAGGATGCTCATCAATGGTGCCAGGGGAAGGCACAGCATGCCTGTGAGTCAGGTGCTCCAGTTGTTATCATTGACAACACAAATGTGCAACACTGGGAAATGCATTTCTATACAAATTTAGCTCATCGGACAAACTACACAGTTATTACAGTTATTCCGAAAACATCTTGGCGTTTTAGTCCTGATGTACTAGCAAGGAGGAATAAGCATGGTGTCAGTGAAGATATTCTAAGAGAAAAGCTTCATCAGTTTGAGAACAAGGCACCAGTTTACTATGGCTGGTTCTTGACAGAGGAAGCAAGTAAAGATGTACGGTTCATAGCTAAACACCTGTTTGAAGAGTGTCAGAAGTGTTTTCCTGATTACTCCAGGTCTATTCTGGACACCTATACTCCTACAAAATATCAAAAGCCTTCACAAGGTAATACTTTCTTCATCATTTATTAGGTAGCCATAAAATCCATGTACTGCTGCAAAAAAAAGAATAGCATTTCTCATTTCAAAGTCATATTTGAAAATGAATCATATTGCTGACAATAAATGATGTGTATGTTACAGTGAGGTGTTACACATTTCGTGAATCTATTGTCACCTTTGCTTTTATGGATTCTGACATCAGATATATAGTCTTTCAGTAACACTTGAGACACAGAACTTTGTGCAAAGAAATGCGAATCATATTGATTTAAAGTGTAATTGATGTTCCCAATTAACATGATTAATGATTTGTCAGTCACACATTTTGGCTCACAGAGATAAGCACATCTCACATGCACCTCTTTGTAAATAGGTGTTAGTATGAGCGGTAGGTTTTTGTATGTCAGTCTGGTGGGAATGTGTATGTCAGGTAGGTGTGTGAATGTCAGCAGTGTCAGGTGTGTGTGTGTGTGTGTGTGTCTTGTATATGTATGGTATGTGTGTGAAGGCCAGAAGTGTCGAAAATCTAAAATAAAAGTTAATTTTGTGATTAGACAGTTTGGCGCTGGTCATGGGTCATTGAGGATCATTGCACCAAATACTTTCAACAGTTTGATGCTGTCTTATGAAGACAAGACATATGCATACATTGGCACCTTTTAATAACTGAATTAATGTAACAAATGTAATGGTCTTGTGTCTGCCCCGGTACATGATGGTTTTCATTGATTTGAACATCAGAATGTTCTGGAATATGCTGTCAGGAAGGGCGTCTGTATTGCCTCTCATTTCAATAAGCTGGTTTCAGTTGATGGGCGTAGTTTCTTCTCTAGCTCTCTGCTTTTGCTTCTCCTTTAACTGGTCAGTGTGAAGCAGGAACACTGACCACTGGTGATTGCGTGGCTGGGGTCCCATTCAGCTAACAATGTCATCATTGGTCTGCAGTGGTCTTCTCTATACATTGCCAGTAGGATGTATCATTCTTGTCTCTCTTTTTAATTAACTTTTATCCAACTACTAACTCCATATAAATTCTCGGTGAAACTGATCTGAAGTTGCACATTAGTCATATTGACATTGACTTCAACTCCCTCGGCATAAACACATGATAAAAATCACAATTTGAAATCACCCCTTTATACCAAGTATTACAAAATGATATTGTGATTTGTGTGTGTATGTCAGGTATGTGTGTGAATGTCAAAATTGTCAATGTCAGGTAGGTGTGTGTAATGTCTGATACTGGTAGACTGGATGTGAGAATTTCATGTTTAAAATGTCTGTAGTGTACTGTAGATAAGATAGATGTCTGTCTCCAACCAGTATGGTTGAAAGGTGTCAGAGCTCTGCTATCGCAAGTTACAATTCACACTCTTTAATGTACCATGTATCTTGTTTTTTCAGTGAATGAGAAAGGCCAACTAGAGCTACACTTTCCATGGAAGTCTGCTGAACTTCTGCACTGTACGTCCAAGTTCTGCAACAAGGGGAGAGCACTGCATGCTTCTGAGTACCACAGCAGACAGGATGTTGCTGACAATGTTGGAAAAGCCTTCAGGCTGGAGATAGTCGGCTTCACCTTCTCACAGAACACAGTAGCAGGAAGAATATGTCTGAACGAAGAGCAACGTGCACTCTTTGACAAACCAGAAGAGAAAGAAAGAGATGATGTTATAGCCAGGAATAAAGCTGTGAATGCAAGGTTAGCACATTTGTCAAGATATCACACAGGGATTAACAATAAAAAACCCTCTTCTGCAGCTCTGACATCAAAATCAGCTTCCCTTCCCCCACCTGAGGGGTTCGGACGAAGCGCTCACTTGACTGTTTGTTGTTCAGAGGGTGTGAGAAACAATCATGCTATATATGATCTGTTGGACATTTGTGACAAGGAGAGCGCTGGTGAGGTGGGTCACCGCATGAGAGTTACCGGTGGTGAGGCCATGTATCTTGGGGAGGGGTTCTGTGTTGTCTATCTGTACAGACCAATATATGTGACAACACTCTTCTCTCCATATCATGTTTAAGCATGTGGAAGCATTGTCTTTCTTATACTCCACGGCAGCACTTCATTTACTTCGGGTTTAAGAAAATGTATCAGAGCCAGTCAAAGCCATAAATTAACCCAGGGTTTACACAATGCACAAATGTGCGTCCATTTCAAGGGACGCACAATAACATTCATTGTACCTACAGCGCATCAATAGAGGTTGTCACGCGAGTGTGTTTGGGGATGGTAACTAAATATCCTGCATTAGGAATAAACATTGTATTTAGCGAGCCTTGGCGCGCATTAATATTTATTACGTTACAGGGTAAGTGATGTGTCAGTGGGACAGTGACAGTAGCCAATATAGTTCCAACTGAAATCTCTATACACTGGCAAAGCAGCATATACGCAAAACAACAATGTTTTTATTGCCTTTCGCGGCAATCCATCGGTCTGTCTGCTAGAGTAACTGCCCTTTGTCAAAGGGAAGCTAATCTAACCCTAGTCTATGAGACGTCACGGCCACGGTCAGATGTTGTTGACAGTCGATATTATGTGTGCTGACCGCACAATCGCATGTTTTTTACTCGCGGTCAAGCCCGGGAGGTAGTTCACCTAGTAATCCAAGATGGCGTCACACATTGTTCAAATGTTTGCCTTTGCCCGGAATCGTAACCAATGTCTAAAGAATAATCCTTTAGACTAGTCACTACCATCCGAAAGCTTCATTTCATCTATTGTCAATATTAAAAATTATACTTTGTTATGAACATCAAAGTATTAGCCCATCATACTTATGATGAAATTATATGTGAACCTTTAAAAATTCACACTTGTGGATGAAATGGAAAATGTGAACCTATAACACTTGTGGATTGGGCTGTTTTGATGACGACTCCATGTTGGATGCTGTGCTGTGAGAGCGAGTACACGACTTCCATTCAGGAAGGAGTCATATTGCCTTGCTGTAAGTCTGCGAGATGGCCTGCCATCCTAAACACACCTCAAGAGTCATAGTCTCTAGTAGTTCACTTCCATACCTTCATCAATCTTCAGGACAGCTTTGATAGATTATCCACGCAGTTTACAGTAAACTAGGTTTACAATGAACACGCTTATAACAAACTGATGGATAAAACAAACTTATTTTTGGTCCCAGCCATTTGCTGTATATATGCTGTATATATGCTTTTATCATCCAAAACTGGCTCCCACAGGAGATATCACTTGGGTGAGATCAAGCGATATCTACCATGTAATCGCAACACAATGCTTTGCAGACCATTGTTGTCATTGGTTACCATGACACCACAATCAAATTACATCACTAATGGCTCTGCTACTGAAGCTGTCAGAAGTACTTTTTACACTTAAGACACTGCTTTATACTGTCTACAAACTGAAAAAGTTGGAAGAATGATGTTGGATGATAAATAAAATCTCACCATCGTGTCTTTTGACATCACATGTATCAACACTTGTTAAAAGTGGTAAAACTCCTCGGCAAGCCTCGGAGTGTTTCCACTTTTATCAACTCATGTTGATATATTTGATATAAAAAGACACGAGGGTGAGATTCTCTATATAATGAACTACGATTATATGGAACTAAAATCAGTAGCCCCTTTGAGTTCGTTCTAACCATAGTTTACTACTGTATGTCCAGCTGGTTCTATGTTATTCACTGTTGATAGTTTCTGTAAAAACATCCATCATTGATGCAGTTGCATAGGCAGCTAGTCTTGAAACATGTGTTGACAAAATGCAATAGAAGAGTTTTGTGAAGTATTTATGTTATTTTTATATCAAGTTTGTTTACAAAGCAAGTTTGAGTGTCCTGTAGGACACTGATATTTTTTTAGAATTGATCATATATTGTAAAATTTTACAGTAATATAGGGTTCTCATAGATTTGCAAGTGCTTGAATTTACAAGAATTGCTTATTTTTAGGATTTTGTCTAAAATCATTTTCCCTTGTGAAGTGTTTGAATTTGGGGAAATGTGTGCATGAGTAAAGTGAGGTCGGAGAGTACCGTATTCGACGTAATAAGCGCCCAGGGCGCTCACAAAATTAGAAATAAGGGGCTCTTATTAGAATATAATTTTTGTGAAAGAGTTGAAAGATAGTAAATTTCATGATTTATGCTGACAGCCTGAAATGATACAAAAGAAACTTCTGTGTGTATTGTACACGACAGACGTACTTTTCCAGAATTTGATTGCATGTGCGTCTCGTAGGCTGTTCGTAGTTTTTGTTCTATCAAGGGTTTACAATCATTGTAATACCTCCTACGAGACGTTACCACAATTTCAAAAACTCCATATCGAGCTTTCACAAACAGCCATTAGGTTTATTAGGGAATATAACACACACGTGCGTCCTACACACAAATAAATAAGTCTCGTGTACATTGATCAGTCGGAAGGGTGCTGATTGGGATTGTTCACTAGCCAATATATCACTAGCAAATATCGCCATGGGCGCTTATTACGTCGAATACGGTAATACACCCACCACCTTTAGTATATAATATTCCAGCAATATCACAGTGGGTGATACCAGAAATTATTTTTGTACCTTGTACCCATGTAAGAACCAGTAATCACAGTCTTGCCTTTGGTGTGATGGGACAATGCTTTAACCATAGACATTGAGTATTATTGTTGCAATTGTAATTCACTGGGAGTTCTTGAAAATTGGAATGTTTCCCTTGCCTTGAAAAGAGCCCTGTAACTTGATTGATAGTGCCTTTGAATGTATGTTTAAGCATTTGAAAAGGATTTGTGTGGATGATTGTATGTGTATCAATCATTCTAAACATTCCACATGTCAGATTACTCTCAAAACACTTTATTCACTTGAATGATATCCCAGCATAAAATGACACCCACAATGGATTCGGTACTATTCACCATATCAAAAAGTTCTACTTTATGGTATTTTTTATTGTCCCAACAAGACTTGTGGACTAGTTCAGTTAAATTTCACTCTTTGTGTTACCCAGTTATACCAGAGTGGGTCTCAGAATTTCATCTGAATATCATCCAAGCAACTTAAATATAATGAATGCTTTTTTCCAGATCCTGTTCTGTTATGTAGAAGGACAAGTTGTGTCTGGACATATTTAAACATGTTAAGATGATCCCCTCTGTTTCTCGTTATTTACCAGTACATGTACCTGATTCAAATTATATCACAGTCTTCCTATTTGTTTAGAAAATAACTTTTATTTTTCATTTTGCATTCCCAAATGGAATCTCTGCTAAGATAATTAACATGTGTGAACTTTGTGAATTTGTTTGTGCTACACTGGTGTGAGTTGCAGTGATGAGAGGGGAGTTACCAATTCTCTTGTATGAGCGTTTGGAAACCCATGTTTTATCTATGCTGCACCTTTTTCATGTGAATGTTTTTATATGTCTTTACAATCTATTTAATGAATGTGTTGTTTTTGCAAGGTTTTCCTTTCAATGCCCTCTGTGATATCAAAATGTGTAAATAAACTGTTTCTGAAATAAAAAATGCATTGTTGACATCCTATTCAGGGGTAGATACCATTGGTGGTATCCAAACAGTATGCAGTCTCAAATGACCTGATTCCGGGGTAGAATAGGTCTTAAGCAACCCATGCTTGCCGTAAAAGGTGACTATGCTTGTCGTAAAAGGCGACTAACGGGATCGGGTGGTCAGGCTCGCTGACTTGGTTGATACATGTCATCAATCCCAATTGCGTGGATCGATGCTCATAACATTAATCACTAGATTGTCTGGTCCAGACTCGATTATTTACTGACCGCCGTCATATAGCTGGAATATTGCTGAGTGCGGTGTTAAACAACAAACAAGCAAACAAGCAAGCTTATTTGAGACTAGTGGTTATGTAACATGTCAACATTGTGGGATAAAGCAACAAGTCGCCTGTTACTAGTCTCGGACTAACTGACAAGGTCTTGTTAGTCCGTGGTATTTGTACAGTGAGGGAGTCAGCTGAAGATGGTCATCCTCATGTAAAGGAATTCTTAACTCTGTGTTAGCAAATTAACTCAAAGGGTATTCAAGCCCTGTAAATGACAAGTCTGTGTTTGTAAAGAGGTTAACCAAATAGAGAAGTGCTTTTTGTGTTGCGAGAAAGAATAACTAGCATACTATTTTGGGGGGTATAGAATCAATGTTATAGCCTGAAGGAAGTATTGAAAAGTATGCACACTCACTATTGGGCTGGGGCAGTGGGGTAGCCTAGTGGTTAAAGCATTTGCTTGTAACGCCGAAGACCCAGGTTCAATTCCCCACATGGGTACAATCTGTGAATCCCATTTCTAGTGTCCCCTGCCACTCACTCACTCACTCACTATTGTGTTCCATCCTGCTTTCTCTCCAAATTTTCACTTCTCAGCCCAACTCTCATCCCCACAGTTGTAAACCCATCCTCCCCATCCTCTCTCCCAAGATATTGCATAAATACTATCCATCTTGTTTATGCAAAATAGGAACACTACAAAAATAAAACATCAGCCTGATTTTCAACCTTTATTTTACAGACACACTTTACTGGGATAATATTTGTCATTTTGAAGTAGCTTGTTTCTCTCAGTGGTAATGGTTTCATTATAATGTTATTGATAGGCATCAGCATCTAATTTATAAAATACTAGCAATAAATCGTATATGGTTACATCGCATGCAAATGGTTCCGGGCTATCATTCCGACTAATATTTAAATGGAATTCCGAGTGCATATGGTATCATGTATATAATTAAAAAAGAAATCGATCAGGATATATGTAGGGTGCATGTCTTTTCAAATCAAAGTTTCTTTTTTTTCAAATCGACAATACAGGAACTACTAGTCCATGTTCTACCAGAACCCGCCCCTGAACATGTTGGCAAGGTTCCGACTCATGTTTGACATTTGACGGTTGAAGGCGGCCATCTGTGCCTGGAAGTTCTCCTGGAATCTTTGCATACTTCGTCTCATTGCTCTGCTGATACGTTGGCCTTCAACGGAGATGTAGTTGTTGTTGCCACACGCACAGTGGGTGGAGTACCCGTTGCTCATTACGCTCAGGCCGAGACCATTTGGACAACAGAAGACTGTGTTGTTCATGGAACTGCGATTATTGATGTGTCGGCAGGCTTGACCCTGAAGACACGGCGGAGGCTGCTGATTACCTGCAGGAAGAACCCATGCTATATCACACACACACACACACATTTCCTTATGCCTTGTCTTTCATCAATTTAAGCAGAAAGAAAAAATCTCAGAATAAGATAGCTACGCGATAAATCGCAACAATGAAGAACGAAGCCTGGTTTATTTCTCGAGTTTTCATAGTTCTATCTTGCGGTCATTTCTGGAGATTCGAACATGCGCTCGTAAATTGATGACATCGTATATTGGACAACGTTACCAGTGCCGTAGCCAGCCGGGGGGCAGGGTAGGCAATTTGCCCCCCCCCCCCCCCCCCTTGAATCAAGTTGGGGACAAGTGATACTTGTACAAATATTGCCCCCTGTCAAAAAAAAGTTAACTACGGCCTTGGTTACTTTTGAGAGGTACGTGCAAAGTGAGTTTGTCCCCATATATTTAGCTGGACAACGCAGATGAACGCAGTTGCTGAACAATCGCATCTAAAAGTGGGAGCGTTATGACAATCGGTATTGTGAGACAAGGTACAGATAAGGGACGCGAGGGGCGGATTCTATTCAGGGAGTCGTCATTATTTAAATACGGGTAAATATTTTTACACCTTGTACTTTTTATCATCATCACTCCCGGTCGTCGTTTATTTCTTATATATGGTAATTTAAGTACGTGTGCGATGTGCCACACTTATATTCCCAACGCAAGCACGTGTTCCACCTCTGTCACCCTACATATCAGCCAGGAAGACGGAGAAAGCTTGTCCTTGTCAGTGTTTCTCTGACATAAATAATTCAACAGTCACGGGAAGCTCCAAAACGCAACCTATGACCCTTATTTCAATGTGCGCCGACAACAAGGCAGCCTCGTGCAGATATTTGGAATGGCCAAACACCTTTTTTAATTTTAGGGTTCTTCAGGATGTAATATTATCTGGAAAAATACACACTTAGAACAATAGAATGACGTCACAAGAAATATATATATTTCCCTGTAGCACCACGTGATGTCGAACAAGGATGCAGCCTGGATTCTGAACACAGTTGTGTTTCCTGTTACTCTACCTAGCATGGTAAAGCAGACAGTTTCACAAAGCATAACTGAGTGAGTGAGTATCATGGTTTAACGCCGCTTTTAGCAATATTCCAGCAATATCACGGCGGGGGGCACCAAAAATGGGCTTCACACATGTCGGGAACCGAACCAAGGTCTTCGGCGTGCCGAGCGAACGCTTTAACCACTAGGCTACCTGACCGCCGCCAAAACATAACTAGTGGATGCTATATATGCATAAAGATGTTTAAATAAAGTACTTTTAATCAATGGACGGAGATAGGTAATATGATATGCAGGTTACCACGTCACAGGTTTGTATGTGATACACTGTGATATAGATTCTTCCCTTCACAATTTTGTATACTGGTATATGATTTTAAATGGGGCCCTTATGCAGGTTAGCAGCCTTCCCAGTTTTATATTTGGGTATTGTCGTCTATTTTTTTTGTTACTAGCATTTTGCGATCTATAGACACTACACTAGAGCCTTTGTTGTAGAAGAGGTATGGGACTTCCATAATATATCAGTATAGTATGTTTTTTTCAGAATACTGAAAGGCCTATCTCCAGTGACAAGTGATTATGAGAGCCTATTTTACAGTTTGATTCTTTCTCATCAGAAAGGAACTTTTATAGACATTAAAGCTACGAATTGTACACGTCTCATTAATCTGTCGAACTAATATATCCAATACAGGCCATGCAAGTCTATAATAGTTGGCAAGTCCAGATTACTGCATTATCATACAGACCATGAAATAGATATATCCAATACAGCCAATGCAAGTCTATAATAGTTGGCAAGTCCAGATGACTGCATTATCATACAGTCCATGAAACAGATATATCCAATACAGCCCATGCAAGTCTATAATAGTTGGCAAGTCCAGATTACTGCATTATCATACAGACCATGAAACTGATATATCCAATACAGCCCATGCAAGTCTATAATAGTTGGCAAGTCTAGATTACTGCATTATCATACAGACCATGAAATAAATATATCCAATACAGCCCATGCAAGTCTATAATAGTTGGCAAGTCCAGATTACTGCATTATCATACAGACCATGAAACAGATATATCCAATACAGCCCATGCAAGTCTATAATAGTTGGCAATCTAGATTCTTGCATTATCATACAGACCATGAAATAGATATATCCAATACAGCCCATGCAAGTCTATAATAGTTGGCAAGTCCAGATTACTGCATTATCATACAGACCATGAAACAGATATATCCAATACAGCCAATGCAAGTCTATAATAGTTGGCAAGTCTAGATTACTGCATTATCATACAAACCATGAAATAGATATATCAAATACAGCCCATGCAAGTCTATAATAGTTGGCAAGTCTAGATTACTGCATTATCATACAGACCATGAAATAGATATATCCAATACAGCCCATGCAAGTCTATAATAGTTGGCAAGTCCAGATTACTGCATTATCATACAGACCATGAAACAGATATATCCAATACAGCCCATGCAAGTCTATAATTGTTGACAAGTCCAGATTACTGCATTATCATACAGACCGTGAAATAGATATATCCAATACAGCCCATGCAAGTCTATAATAGTTGGCAAGTCCAGATTACTGCATTATCATACAGACCATGAAACAGATATATCCAATACAGCCCATGCAAGTCTATAATTGTTGACAAGTCCAGATTACTGCATTATCTTACAGACCATGAAACAGATATATCCAATACAGCCCATGCAAGTCTATAATTGTTGACAAGTCCAGATTACTGCATTATCATACAGACCATGAAATAGATATATCCAATACAGCCCATGCAAGTCTATAATTGTTGACAAGTCCAGATTACTGCATTATCATACAGACCATGAAATAGATATATCCAATACAGCCCATGCAAGTCTATAATTGTTGACAAGTCCAGATTACTGCAGTTTCTGAAAATGAAGAGAGCCTCTGGGCTCCTCTTTTATTTTATTGCGATAAGATAATTTAACAACTGTTTTTTTCTGAATAAAATGTTTCATTTCAGAGACTAGATGTTAGTCTAACGTTTCGTAAGTAGCCATTATGGCATTATGAATTTGAATATTTGGATTAATAAAGAAATACTGTTGTATACTATGGGCCTGGGGCCATCAGTATCCTGAATAAAACATAATTGTTTGTTATGTGCCATGTCGGTTGATGTGCTTGTTAAAGTAAATTTAATAATGAGTGAGTGGGTTGTGTTAAACGCCGTTTGTAACAGTATTCCAGTTATATCACGGCGTGTCAGCTTAATGTGGGAGGAAAGCCCGAAGTGATGACAAACCTAGAAACATAATCAGGGCGAACCGGGATTCGAACCCACAATCGTAGGTTTCTGGCGTGCCCAAGGGACGCAACTCTGCACAGCGAATTGCAGCCCCTTAGACGACTTGGCCACCCGTGCCCCCAAATTATTAATGGTTATCATAACATGTTAGTGATTTTTTAAAGTGCCCGCCCCAACTGTTTTAATCCCGTTGCTGTTGTAGGCAGTAAAATTTTCTGAGAGAAGATTTTGATATTTTTTACCCCTTCCCTCTTTAATAATGCTGGATCCGCCCTTGCAGGTGCTTCAGTATAAAGTGATTTGTGAGCTGCCTCGTTTGCACCACCCACTTTATGGTTGTAGCACTGTTGATGAGAATTGTCATAAATCTGCGTACATGCAGCTCCGAGGCTAAAGCGTGACACAAATGTACACACAGCACAAGTGGCGGTCATGTTCATCCCGATCGGAATGTGTATACGTTTCGCAGATGAACTTTTCAGAACATTCCGGCAAAGTGTGACACATTTAAAACGCTGTACGTTACGTGCCTTGACAATCCGGTATGACACGCAAGACAAGCCATTCTTAGTGGTACATGTACTTCACAGAAGCCAAATAATTGTCTCCCTTTGATGACGTTCCTAGGACAACTTTTGTTATCACATGCAGTTACTCAACATAGAATACATAACTAACGTCTTGTCAAATTACCATGTATGTATTATTCTGACCGCATCCGTGGTGTAGTGGATAGAGCGTCCGCATGGTGAGCGGAAGGTCGGTGGTTCGAACCCCGGACGCGTCATTTACCAACAGACGTTAAAAGATGGAACGTTCGGCTCGGAGTCGGTGTGTCTGAGTAGGGTGTCCAGAGGCGTGTTCAGGAGGGCGGGCGCTCGCGATATTACGCGAGCGCGCGCTGTTGAACACGGCTTACCGCGCGAGCGCACGCGTGTACTCGCGATCGAGCCCGAGAGGTAGTTCGCCTCGTAATCCAAGATGGCGTCGCACATTGAACAAATGTTTGCCTTTGTCGAGAATGGAACCGATGTCAATACAATATTCTTTTAGACTAGATCTACCATCAAAAAGTTATTTTTGCATTTTCAATATATTGACCCGTGATGATCAGGAAAGACAATAGGTCTTCCGCAACCCATATGTTTGCCGTAAGGATCGAGTAATAAGACTCGCTGACTTGGGTGATGCATGTAATCGTATCCCCATTGCACAGACCGTTGCTCATGTCGACTGCTGGATTGTCTGGTCCAGCACAGGGACATGTAACTAATAATAAAAATAAACACTTTGTTATCATGAACATCAAAGTATGAACCCATCAAACTTGTGATGAAATTAAATGTGTGAATCTATGACACTTGTGGACAGGGCTGTTTTGATTCCCGGTGACGCCATTTTGGATGCTGTGCCGCGACAGGGAGTACGCGCCTCCCGTTCAGAAAGGCGTGATATTGCCTCACTGTACTATCGCGCGGTCGCTCGCCCTCCTGAAAACGCCTCAGGACTGCTTGTTATCTCGGTTGACTAGCACCGTTAAACCGGCATTAGACGGACTAGTCGAGTACAAGCAGCCACACACGCACACGCACAAGCACATTCGCTATATAAGTGCAACAATCTTGAAAACCCTGTTTAAAGACATCCGCGTTATGAATCCAGGCCAGAAGGTGCGTGTGTGGCGACTCTGTATATAATTGTAATGGCGTATGTCTTACCTTGTGTAACGACCGTGTGTACAGGTGTCTAAAGGTGCATCTTACCTGGTGTGACGACTGTATACGGGCGTCACGGCGTACATCTTACCTGATGTGACGACTGTGAAGGTTAGGCGTCACAGGGTACATCTTATCTGGTGTGACGACTAAGAAGGCAGACGTCACAGGGTACATCTTACCTGGTGTGACCACTGTGAAGGCAGGCGTCACAGGGTACATCTTACCTTGTGTGACGACTGTGAAGGCAGGCGTCACAGGGTACATCTTACCTGGTGTGACCACTGTGAAGGCAGGCGTCACAGGGTACATCTTACCTGGTGTGACGACTGTGAAGGCAGGCGTCACAGCGCACATCTTACGTTGTGTGACGACTGTGATGGCAGGCGTCACGGCGTACATCTTACCTGGTGTGACGACTGTGAAGGCAGGCGTCACAGGGTACATCTTACCTTGTGTGACGACTGTGATGGCAGGCGTCACGGCGTACATCTTACCTGGTGTGACGACTGTGAAGGCAGGCGTCACAGGGTACATCTTACCTGGTGTGACGACTGTGAAGGCAGGCGTCACAGGGTACATCTTACCTGGTGTGACGACTGTGAAGGCAGGCGTCACGGCGCACAGCTTACCTGGTGTGACCACTGTGAAGGCAGGCGTCACAGGGTACATCTTACCTGGTGTGACCACTGTGAAGGCAGGCGTCACGGCGTACATCTTACCTGGTGTGACGGCTGTGAAGGCAGGCGTCACGGCCACCAGAAGAAGACTCGTACTCAGCAGGAGGAACATCTGCAAGAAACATGACAAGACAGTGCTGATGAGGTCGTGAGTTGATGAGGTAGCTGAAGGTGAGGTGAGGTGAGGTGAGGTTTCACTTCGCGTCGAAGATTACAGCGACGTGTTTGTGCGTTTGTGTGTGTGTGTGTGTGTGTGTGTGTGTGTGTGTGTGTGTGTGTGTGTGTGCTAGTCCGGACTGATGTCGATTTATAGTTCTAGCCCACTGAGATACCATGCCGCAGTTTAACATGAATACCCCACTCAGACACAGTATACTGACTCCGAGCCGATCAGTGCTTGTTTTAGCCCCCTAATACCGAGCGCCAGACAGGGTAACAACATGTACCGTCTTTTTACGTCATTTTGGGATGACGCGGCCGGGGATCGAACCCCTGATCTTCCGCTCTCCGGGTGGACGATCTACCAAAAGCCCACGGAGGCGGTCCGTTATATGGTTGAACGCAACTTCTCACTCTAGACACATAAAACAACATCGCTTCAGACATGTTCGGAAATGCAAGACCCCTCACAGATGACAAGGCCATTATTTTCCGTAGTTCGTCATATTCTTTGTAGGCCCGCCAGGTAATGTTCCTCGAGTGAGTAAATGACGTTTCATGCCGCAGTCAGCTATACAATGTACAGCATTGCAAACCAGCAGGTAAGAACCGATCGAGGTAAGATGACACACAATCAACAAGAACACCCATCGCAACCACTCGACACCCATAAGTCGGCTCTGAAGACAGGTTGGGGACAAGATGATACATAATCAACAAGATCACCCATTGCAACCACTCGACACCCATAAGTCGGCTCTGAAGACAGGCTGGGGACAAGATGATACACAATCAACAAGATCACCCATCGCAACCACTCGACACCCATAAGTCGGCTCTGAAGACAGGTTGGGGACAAGATGATACACAATCAACAAGATCACCCATCGCAACCACACGACACCCATAAGTCGGCTCTGAAGACAGGCTGGGTACAAGATGATACACAATTAACAAGATCACCCATCGCAACCACTCGACACCCATAAGTCGGCTCTGAAGACAGGCTGGGGACAAGATGATACACAATCAACAAGATCACCCATCGCAACCACTCGACACCCATAAGTCGGCTCTGAAGACAGGCTGGGTACAAGATGATACACAATCAACAAGGTCACCCATTGCAACCACTCGACACCCATAAGTCGGCTCTGAAGACAGGCTGGGGACAAGATGATACACAACCTACAAGATCACCCATCGCAACCACACGACACCCATAAGTCGGCTCTGAAGACAGGCTGGGGACAAGATGATACACAATCAACAAGATCACCCATCGCAACCACACGACACCCATAAGTCGGCTCTGAAGACAAGCTGGGGGAAAGATGTCACACAATCAACAAGATCACCAATTGCAACCACCCGACATCCATATGTCGGCTCTGAAGACAGGCTGGGTACAAGATGATACACAATCAACAAGATCACCCATCGCAACCACTCGACACCCATAAGTCGGCTCTGAAGACAGGCTGGGGACAAGATGATACACAATCAACAAGATCACCCATCGCAACCACACGACACCCATAAGTCGGCTCTGAAGACAAGCTGGGGGAAAGATGTCACACAATCAACAAGATCACCCATTGCAACCACCCGACATCCATAAGTCGGCTCTGAAGACAGGCTGGGGACAAGATGATACACAATCAACAAGATCACGTGCACCCATTGCAACCACACGACACCCATAAGTCGGCTCTGAAGACAGGTTGGGGTCAAGATTATACACAATCAACAAGATCACCCATTGCAACCACTCGACACCCATAAGTCGGCTCTGAAGACAGGCTCGGGACAAAATGATACACAATCAACAAGATCACCCATCGCAACCACTCGACACCCATAAGTCGGCTCTGAAGACAGGCTTGGGACAAGATGATACACAATCAACAAGATCACCCATCGCAACCACTCGACACCCATAAGTCGGCTCTGAAAACAGGCTGGGTACAAGATGATACACAATCAACAAGATCACCCATCGCAACCACACGACACCCATAAGTCGGCTCTGAAGACAGGCTGGGGACAAGATGATACACAATCAACAAGATCACCCATCGCAACCACACGACACCCATAAGTCGGCTCTGAAGACAAGCTGGGGGAAAGATGTCACACAATCAACAAGATCACCCATTGCAACCACCCGACATCCATATGTCGGCTCTGAAGACAGGCTGGGTACAAGATGATACACAATCAACAAGATCACCCATCGCAACCACTCGACACCCATAAGTCGGCTCTGAAGACAGGCTGGGGACAAGATGATACACAATCAACAAGATCACCCATCGCAACCACACGACACCCATAAGTCGGCTCTGAAGACAAGCTGGGGGAAAGATGTCACACAATCAACAAGATCACCCATTGCAACCACCCGACATCCATATGTCGGCTCTGAAGACAGGCTGGGTACAAGATGATACACAATCAACAAGATCACCCATCGCAACCACTCGACACCCATAAGTCGGCTCTGAAGACAGGCTGGGGACAAGATGATACACATTCAACAAGATCACCCATTGCAACCACACGACACCCATAAGTCGGCTCTGAAGACAGGCTGGGTACAAGATGATACACAATCAACAAGATCACCCATTGCAACCACTCGACACCCATAAGTCGGCTCTGAAGACAGGCTCGGGACAAAATGATACACAATCAACAAGATCACCCATCGCAACCACTCGACACCCATAAGTCGGCTCTGAAGACAGGCTGGGTACAAGATGATACACAATCAACAAGATCACCCATCGCAACCACTCGACACCCATAAGTCGGCTCTGAAGACAGGCTTGGGACAAGATGATACACAATCAACAAGATCACCCATCGCAACCACTCGACATCCATTATCGGCTCTGAAGAAAAGTCTGGCGTGTGATGACACAAACGATCAACTCTTTAAAAAAGCATTAATCTAATATATTACAACAAATCTTACCATCCAGTTGTCCAATAGCCTGTACGCGATGTTTCAATGGTTCAAAAGGAACTGGTCTGATAGTTTAATTAGTTCCATGTATCATAACTGTGGCCATGTTTCATTCAGAAGGCCGCTGTGACGGATTGTGACAAGCTGTCAAGGAGATGCGGAACACAGACATGCTACGTCACAGACTACTACACCGCCTCCTCATCGGAGGATATACAGTAGAAGGTATGCCGTTGTATACAGAAGCATGGGGCTAAGACCGGCCCCGAGGTTATAAAACTTCCCTGAGTACGATTTCATGCTCAAATCCGGTTTCGTGCTCAACTCAAAACTCAGACTCAGTAAACGGAGGTTATAAATAATCTGAGTACGTTTTCGTGCTCAACTTGAGCATGAAATACGTACGATCTCAAGTACGCTTTGGACCGTGCTCAACGCTGAGTTCGATAACAACAATGGCAGATCACCTGCGACAGACTCGACAAGCGAGGCGGACAACCCCTGTTCCGAGATCTTTCAAACCCGCTGGAAGATTTAGATGTGGATGAAGTTTTTGAACGTTATAGATTTATGTATGTATTTGAGCACGAAACTGAGTTGAGCACGAAATTTTTTTTATAACCTCCGGGCTGGTGACCTTGCTATAGTCTTAAATATAGGAACTTAAACTAACCTCAGAGAATGTGTACTTTCTTTAGGCTCGTCCATTTGTTTCTTCGTGTATTATGCCACTACGCCAGAAGCAAAACATGTGACCAGTATTTAAAATTAAAATGTCAGCAATGAGTAAACGCTTTATTTTCGTTCAATGACGTAACAATCTGCAATTTTATTTGTTTAGGCTTGTGGACGGTCGGTGATTTCCCGCCGCTGTGAATTTGTCGTCTGGACAGGTGCGCGTGATTTGACCTCGCCTGTTGTGACGTGGATGACGTCATTGCAAACAGCTGATCTCATATGTTGTGGTTGTCTAATGGATATACGTGTTTTCAGTTTCCAAATAATAATTTGTCTTTGACTGAACTTGAAAGATCTAGGACATCATGTTTGGGAAGATTTCCACGACGAGTGAATGAGACGGTTTATCACTTGACTTACACTGTCAGAATATTTGGCTCACTTTTCTAATTTTGTTATGTTGACATGTGTGCTTTTCATATCTGTTTGAAGACTTGATATTCCAAGAAAATAATGTGGATATAGTTGAGTAATGGAATGTTTTACAGTGAGAAAGCTGTCAAAATGGATCCAATATTAAACAACCTTTTTTGCCTCATATATTAGAATCTCGCATGGTTCAATTTAAAACAGTAATTTAAGTAATTAGATCTACACACAATACATATAAATAATCGATTTCTGAATGACAAAATGTTTTCAGTGTAAATGTGATTTTTCATATTTTTGACTAACTGTGATCGATTTCGTATTGATGTTTTAAATAGTTTTCATTTTGGTCTATCACCGTTAGGATATGTACTTTCCAATTATATGAATTTTTGGGATATTTAGATTTCTTACAAGGGCGTTTACTTGCCACGGTCGGGTTCTTCCATATTACGATTATGTGGAAAAGTAGGAAACTTACAATACCAGCACTTTTATCAATGGCTAGGAGTGCATAGAGATTTTGGATTTATTGACTTTAGATACTGTTGGAGTGAGTGAGTGAGTTGGGTTAAACGCCGCTTTTATCAGTATTCCAGTTATATCACGGCGTGTCAGCTTAATGTGGGAGGAAAGCTCGGAGGGATGAAGGTCTCAGATGTTTATCACTTCGGTGAAACTCACGAGCACGGGTATGATGCTGACAAACCTAGAAACATAATCGGGGCGAACCGGGATTCGAACTCACAATCATAGGTTTCTGGCGTGCCCAAGGGACGCAACTCTGCACAGCGAATCGCATTCACACGGTACAACTAGTTGTATACAATTTGTTGCATGCAACACATTGCATCGTGTGAACGGGCAAGTCGGTC